CTTATGTCCAATAATGGTAAAGTGAAACTTGTAAAAACAGGCTCTAACAAAATAAAGAGAAAACACTCTCCTGAAGAGCAGTTTTTTGGAACGTGTGAAAATTAAATCCACATTGTTAGAAACAAAATCCAGCCAATTATGTAAAATAGAGCTATCAATCTGATTAATTTGCTTGTGGGTCTTATCTAAAAGCTTCCTTGAGGTTTTACTTCATGAAACCAGATGTCCCACAACGGGACTCTTTTGTCACAATGCTGCAGCAGACGCAGAGATTCAGTCTTGACCTTCTTAACCACGCTTCTAGGACATGAGGTTGAAGACACGCAAATCCTCCAGGCTCATAATATGTTTAAAGTTGTTTGTATGTTGGTTCTCGTTTCGAATGTTTGGTGTCTGACACACGTAAACTCAATCATGGATGTTAACTCAGAGACAGAAACTCAGAAAACTAAACTTTTTTGCTCTAAACAATCAATACTTGAGCTAAAATATTCTCTGCTTCCCTCTCATCTCTGTCCACAGATTTTTGGGAATAACTCAAACCAGTTCTAGTCCATAGTGTGGCACTGATTCCTTCAACTACAAAAAGCCAACATTTTTGGTCTAAAAGCCAGACTTCTCATTTAGATGTGCTGCTCTCACTCAAAACACTCCACTCACACATAAAGCAGTTCTGATTTGCTCTCATTTTTCTGCTTTCAGATGCAACCAGAAAGCCAACAGAGGTACAGTGCTTCTGTTTGCCTCCAAAATGTTTTAGCATGAATCCCTGCTTATTCGCGGATTCGTCTGTGGAATTTAGCTCCAAACATTTTGCGGAAATTTTGCCTGTTTGTGGATTTTTTTGTCAAATACATCTAAAATGATAACAAAATGTAGATTGGGAACCTGAAAAACGTACTAATATGACAGCTTGACACACTATTGGCTGGCATCAACAAAGCAGCCAATCAGAGAGCGCCATTCATTTTTCTCGTTGTTGAAGTAATGCTCGTGTTAGCAGTCATGGTAAGACACTTTCTGTTGTGCATATTATTGCAGATTAAGGTATATTTAGTGTTTACTACTAAAATAGACAGTTGGAAGCGTTTCACAGGAGGTATTTGTTGATTTTAGTGATTGTGGTCCCAAACTCCCCCAAATGTCATTGCTTCACTCTAGGTAATTGCTTTAACGTTACATAGATTTAAATCAAAGAGCAGATGAACACGCAAACATCTTTGAGTGCTCCAAAGTCTTTCACTGTAAAGTAACTCTATCCATTTGGGTTTTTTCGTTTTATTCAACCACATTTTAAGCCAGAGCGGCACCTGCGACTACTTTAAGCTTTGCCACGAGTCGATGAAAAACTGAAGTCTTATTTTTGTTCCACTGTGCAAGCAACTAGTTGATTTAATATGAGGTTTATGAAGAAAGATTCATATTTCAAAAGCCACATTTCTGAAGCTGGGAATGATTCAGTGCTGGAGTCCGGACAGGCCTTCAACTTTGATCCTATGATCAGCCTTTGTGATTTGCTTTTTTTTGAGAAATTTGTGCAAACTTCAGGGCTCTACAATGTAGACATTAGCTGTGGCTTAATTGCTGTCGCTGTGTTCAATATGCAGGACGAGAACAGAACAATCCTTGTGTTTTCCCGTGGTCGTCATCGATGCGCCTGGGTGGCAGCCGTCTGATGATCTGGAAATTTTAAACGCGTTCAGAAGATGTCTGCTTTTAGATAACGTCTGAAAAAATGCTTTCATCTGACAAACGATGAAAAGATCCAATCAGATTTACATCTTCCTCCCTGTAGCAGTGATTAAACCACAGGCCAAAAAAAGACATTTTCCTGTTCATTTCCTCTGCTTCTTCAAAGATATTCTCTGTAATATAAATAAATTCAGAGAAAGTGAAAGACATACTTATCTTTTTGTCATCTTCTGTGTTTAATGAATGAAGTAGAAGTTGGTGATCTGAAGTTGAGCTTTCTTTTTGCTTTGCTGATGTGAAAGTCAGTAATGAAGTCAATAAAAGACTAAAGAAAATGTTATTTCTAGATCTGGATAGAAATTTCTCTCTATTATTTTGAGGTTGTGCTTGATGTGCTCAGATTAATTGCTAAGTCCTATATAAATAAATGTATGTTTTATATTTGCATGCACTTATTCAGAGCAGAAAAGTATCACCCAGGTAGATAATTAACTAAATCATTTTTTCAATTAAATGTAACTGAAATATCGCAACTAGTATTTTTATTTCTGTTATTTTTCCAAATTTTCTGCAGCTTTTAAACTGAGGCTCTTTTCTTTTAGCATGATGGACTTAACATATTCTCCATATGATGCTTTAAAATGTGTAAGATAAAAGTTTTAAACATTTTAAATCTGTCCACAAAGTTGGTTATTTTTGCAGTCAGATTGTTTCCGGAACATTCTGAGGAAAACCACTAATATCTGGAAACACCTTAAAACAATCAGATTCCTTCCACCTCAGTCATACAAACTGACGTTTCTTGCAGGATTTTTCTTCTTCCAAATATTTAAGAGCCTATAAAATTTAAATGTTTGCTTTGAGATTATTGTTGCTGACACGAATACTCCTCATAGTCCCATTTAAATCCAATTCCTGGACTCAAACGTTTCCTTCATGCAAATGAAACTTAGACGATTTTATTTAGACTTTTCAAATGCCGGTCAAACTTTTACAATTTCTACATGTCTATATATATTTTCTCATTCTAAATCATTTAGTTAGAATGATTTAGTTTGTGTTAGTTTATCAGATTTACACATTTAGGATTGTTATGTTTGACATTTTGACTTTCGATGTTGTTTTAATGTCTTTTAAATGGTTTCATCTTGTTAACAGCCCATTTGGTTGTGCATTTCAAATTAGCTCAGGCTATCAAAAAAAATTATTAAATCAGAAAATACGATGTGTGAAAATATCAACCTGACTAAAATGTAATCAAAATTGTAAATTTCATTGGACTTTTAGCTCAGATTAGATTAAATTGAACTTTTTGGCAACAAATACTCTAAATGGAGTGTGAAGTAAAGAAAAGCGCCACTGTTGGGTATGGTGGAGGGTCTGTGATGCTGTGGGCCTGTCACTGTAAAATCTAATTTTGTACTGTTTAATAGATAAAAGTGTTTCCTATGTAATGCAAAGTAAAAACAAAAAATCCTCGTTCACCCGATTCTGTGTTTTCCAGTCAACCTCCCAATTTTTCATCTCTACAAAATTCAGTAAATATTTTATTGTTTTCTGCATCAAAAGCTTCTTAAAAGTCCAGAGGATATTTGTGAATAATTCAGTCGGAGTTTGTAGCATGTCTCGGTGCAGAACGTCTGAGTCAAAGTCAAACTCTTTTCTGCGGTTTCTTATAAAAAAGGAAAACAGACGTCTCCCCTGGGCCTCATCTAAACACTAAATCAAAGCAGAGTCGCTGCAGACGGAGGAATGAAGTCAGGAGAGTGAAAACTATTAAAAGTGCATCATTGCAGCCGGTCTGCAGTGAAGAGAAAAAAAACGTAACAGAAGAGAGGAATCACAAAAGCAAAACAACCACAACACTGGAGCCCTTCTAAGAACATCAAATGTGAGGTCTTGTTTGTCTTAATGTGTGGTTTTGCAGCAGATCTGTCTAATATCATGCACTATAAATTTCAAAGTGGGTCATACCGGTTCAGAAGCCCCAGAGGAGTTCAGGCTTAAAAGGAAAGTCAAATTTCTTTTAATTATGTGGCATTTTTTTCCTCTCTCGTTTGCAAAATTACTTCCTTGTGTAAATTAAAGAAGTTTACCTCTGCAGGCAGGAGAAACATAGATTTCAAAAACTAACTGCTAATTTCAGGACCTCAGGACATAAATATAAAACATCTCATCTACTGGTGGCGTTGCTGAAGACAAATGGAATTTTAGTTTATTGTGATTTTTCTGAATATTTTGCAAATTTTGAACTTTTGGACATCGGATCCTAACTTTATTGAGAAGCAGAAGTCATATCTCAAAAAGTAGGTGGAAAATTTTACCTAACAAACTGAGATCCTGAACTGAAAACTCTTAAGAAACTTGAAGGCTTCCTGTTGTTCTGGATTCAGCCCAGACTTGATAAAAAAAAAAAAAAAAAAAAAACTAACATATCAAGTACAGACATTTTTAAGACAAAAAAAACCCAGAAATTTGTGTTCCTCTGAAAACTTTTGGGCTCTGTATAGCCTCCTACATAACAAGTCTGTTGTTTCCTGTTGCTTTAAAAGCTCAGAGGCCAGACTTGGTGGGAACTGCCAGTAATTTTATATCTTTTACAAAATGTGTGCAAATCTTTGCTTCTGATGTTGGAAAAAACACAATTTTACAACTGCAGTGTTTCCATTGAATATGACATTAAATGAAAACCTGAATAAATTTGTTCACGCGACAAGTCATTAAAAATCACAGCAGTGACAATCATAAACAGTTACATTATGTTCATATTTTAGTCATGGTGCTAGCGCTCATCATCTATTAGCTATCAGAGGAGACATCGGCGTCTTATTCAGGCGTTGGCGCGAAAAAACCCCTTAAATCTGAGAACGGATACGTTTGCGGCATTTGGGGAAATTGTAGTTGGTGGTTTTACTAAAGAGCGATGGATTCAACACGTTGAAATGACACAACCTTTAATGAAAAGCGTGATGCTGAGAGCTCTGATGGAGCCAGCTGTACATTGTCTTAATAAAAAACAAAGCACAAAAACAAACCATCATTCATACTCTTACTACTGCTTTCTGTTGTCTTCTTTGTTGTTTCTGCCAGTAGCAACATCTGGTTGTTTATCAATATATGTAAAAAAAAAAAGTGTGTCCATTACAGTTTTACAGAGTACATCTTTTTCGATACACTTGATAAACCACCGCTTGGGAACGCAGCTGCTAAAAAGGAAAGCTTTAATCTGTCCGTCCTGGATTGGAGTAGCAGATTACTGCCTTTGAGTCTTGACCTTTCTGCCCTGGTCTTTCCTCATGTCTCTGCAGGACTCAGAGCAGTGGGGCAGGTCGGCTTCACGGGTCGCTGACATCGCATCAGCCTTGATTCGGGACAGGAACCCCGCCTTTGTGGGACAGCTCCTGCAGGCGTGAAGAGAGGGAACATCAACAAAACAATCATCGCTCATGAAGACTGAAACTGGATTATTTATGCTGTCTGCTAGTCTCTAATCCTGCAGCAGGTTTAGAGGATGTTGTTTTTCCAAAGTGCATATTGAAAGAAACCTTGACTTTTACAGTAAACTGCGATCAACTGAGTCCTACATTTCCCACAATGCTTCTCTGAGCTGTTAAGATTCTTTCTTTGTTGCGTAACTCTGACCTGATGTTTTGCAGTTTTTACTGAAATGTAGTTTCATAGAGTTGAGCCTACTTTTTGGGCTCCTAAAATAAATTATCATTAAAAAAAATATCTTATTTACAGTAATTCTGAAATATTTCAATATTTTTCTTAACGGATTTAAAAAATGTATCAGAAGTTCATCTTCTACTTCCTTAGAAATCAAAGTGTGAAAGTTGTGCAGTTATTTCTCTGTCTTCTGCTAAAGCTAAAGGCATATTTGGCTCCACAGAGACCCTTAATGACCTCATAGAGGAAAGTATGACTGAGTTTTAAAATCCCTGCTAGTTACATTTTCTTCTTTCTGTTATTTTAGTTGTCGTTTTGCAACTGCTGAATCTGAGGATACGTCTTGAACAATTAGCAGGGACTTTAACAGTAAAAAATACATAAATGCAAAATCTACTAGACTTGAAACGAAGTGCTGCATTTTATAAATATTATGTTATAGCTCACACATAATCATTGAGAAGATTCTGGTGTAAATAGCTATTTTTAATTGTATTGCTGGCAAAAATCAAGCTCTACAATAATATGTTAACATAATGTGATGCACCTCAAAGATTTAAAACAGACTTCTGTAATAATTTTAACCTTTAATATTGTTTAAAAAACGTGAGCCAGGAGCAAATCAGACACTAACACGATTTTATTTTTATCGTGACTCTTTGAGAAACTAACGCATTAGTTTGCTTCTTCATGCAGAGCTTAATATTTTCAGCAGCTGATTTGGGTGGCAGCACCGACTGCAGCATTATGGTGTGCATGGAGTCGGAGTTGAAATCAACTGCAGTGAGTTCATTGTGATGAAGGCGCTTGTTATCACTCGATGCAGCGACGCGGCTCTGATGTCTTTTTAATGCGTTCTGGAGAGAAACAGAACCGTTTGGTACTGACGAATGGCAAATATGTCGAGCTCTGGCAGAGAAGTCATTGTTTTATTCTTCTATTTTCTGGATCTACTTGAAGCCTGATTGTTCATTCACAGGGAAAATAATCACGGATGCAAGATGGAGGAATTTGATCTAGTTTATGTAAGACGCTCTACTGAATAAAGCTCGACTGTCACACAGCATAAAATGAGACGTATTAACGTAATTCTGCAGATTTCAGATGCTATTTTCTGTGCGTTTCTGAGACTCGTTCTGCCTCTGGGAGTTTAATTCAGTTCTTCTTTGAACCAGTAAGCAGCACAATTAATTACTGACACAATTTTTAAATTTTATTGTGTCCAATAAAATAAGCACAAGTCATGTGAGAAGATAATAAAAATTACGAGAATAAAGTCATATAAGAATAAAGTCATAATATTACCAGAATAAAATTGCATTATTTGGCTATTCTTGCACGCGTATATTCTTGAAATATTCTAACTTTATTCTCATAATTGTTTTGTTGGAGTGGCTCCAATAGGCCTAAAATATTTAATAATTTTCAAACTAAATTCACTCAGTTACATTGTTCAACATTCAGCAAAGCATGCAATATTTTAATTAAATAAAGTTGTTTTTAAAGGGAGAAGATGTTAAATTATTGTACATGAGAAACTTAAAAATAGCTTTGCATGTTTGCTTCATAAAAAGACAGGCATTGATTGAAAAAGATTTAAAAACGAAGTAGCTTTTAGTAGATCAGGATTTCTTTGACAAAACTTTCTCGATTCATTCATTAAACCAGAATTTCTTCTGATTTTATTCACTATTAAATAAAGAATAAATTAGAAAGCCTAGTTACTGCCAGGAATATTTTGCCTCCATTAACAATAAAAAGCCAAGTCCACATGTGGATTAGGTGAGACAAATGTTTGTTGTTCTTGAATGGCACTCAGCGGCCACAAATGGCCTCTGCGCCACACTTTGGACACCCCTGCTCTAACAAAACCAGAGTCAGCGTTAGCAGCCAGTTCACTTGGGTTTGCCAGGTTAAAAGGGAAACCAATAAAACACAGAAGAACTGGACCTCACTTGCTTTCTTCTGCAAAAAGGAACAATAAAAGGTAAAATCAGCAAAAACAAAAGTATTATTCTAAAAAAAATGTTTTTGTTTTTCATTTGGGAGTCAGTCAGGGAGGTTGACACGATTTACTTTAAAGCTGAGGTTTAAGTCTTTCCTCCGTGATAAAGCTTGAGGTTAGGGGCGGCTGGTGTGAGTCATGCCTTTAGAAAAGCTGCTATAGGCGTAGCTGCTGCAGGGCCGGATGCACCGAGAGCCTTTTCATCACGTCTCCCTTTTATTCTTGGTGTTAATGCATACCATTATTGCTGCTTTGTATTTCTTCTTTCTCTTGGCAAGTATTTGTTGCCAACAGCATCTGTTTTTGCCTCAGTCTCCTTCCTGTCCTCTCCACCCCCAGCCGGTCTCGGCAGACCCAAAACTGAGCCTTGTTCTGGTGGAGGTTTTGTTAGTCGTGTGTAAAATTCATATTTTACATGTTTTTGTATTACTGCTTCTAAAAACAGGAAAAAAGGCACTAAAAAAACGAGGCCGGCCTTTTTATTGGCAATAAGCTTTTGTTTAGTTTTTTTGGTACGTGGAAAATGAACCATTTCAAAAACCTTCTAAATGTGTCCGTTGCCTAGCAACTCCGGCGGCATTCCGCTTGTCACCTAGCAACCTAAACTGAGCTGCTGCACATTTGGTCAGCTGGTTTTTTCGCTGAATGCCCTGTGAAAGAAACGTGTTTAGTCATTGAGTTACCATCCATCGTTGCTGCATTCTTGTTGGTTGTGCAGGAAGCCCTACTTCTGCTTTTCAAAGATGTACCGTTGTATAATTGCAACTCTTTTCTCACATTTTCATGTGTAAACGTCAAGCTGGGAGGGGAGAGGCCAGCAACAGCTTATTTGGATTTAAAGTGACAAAAGGCCCTATAATTGCTCATTTTCACAGATATGTTTTAGAACCATTGGACTCTGGAACCCGTTTTCAATCTGCGCCGTTGTCAGAGAAAACATTCAGTGGTTTCATGTAAATGTACAGAACAAAACTCTTCCATTTTCACCAGAAAGGGTTGTCGTGTAAACAGGGCCTTTGGCTTGGCGTCCACGGACCCAGACGTTTTTGTGGATTTTGCTACATTTCATCTCGTCTCAATTTAGTTTTCTTCTAAATCCGATTGAAACCCAATGAGGATAAACCAACATCTCACATGTTTACAGTAATCACCCAAAATATTAAAACCAGCTGTCAGTTAGCATGTAGGTCCCCGATCTGCAGCCAAAACACCTGTGAGGCATCGAGCCCTGGACTCCAGCAGACCTCCATCAGACTAAGGTTTTAACAGCAAATCCTGTAAGTTCTGCGATGGGGCCTTCATGGCTCTGACCTGTTTTTCCACCACATACCAGAGACGCTTGATCAGACGGGGATCTGGAGACCAAAGGCCAAAGCAACACTTTGAATGCTTCATAATGTTCCTACGTCCTTCTTTTTAGCATAACGGGGCTCATTAATAATACTTTTTATGACTTTTGTGTTACCCTGGTGTGCTCTGCAACGTTTTGTTGACCGATTTCTTGCCACAGCTCATCTTCAAGCTCAAACTCTCTTCCAGGTTATGACATATTTACACACACGCACAACTCTTTCTCTGTTGATCTGTGAACTTCTGGTTCTTCACTTTTACAGACTAACAGCTTCCAGCATAATGGTAGAAATTATTGAAACTGCCGTGATTTATAATTCAGAGATATTTCACTGGTACAAATGGACATAAAATGACTTCATGTGGGAATGCAGTCTCAAAGCGCGTTGTAAAAACATGAAAAACAAGTGATCATCGAGTTTAGCAGGCAGTAGGTTCATCCTTTTCACTTTGCCGCTCCGTGGAGCTCCACTCATGTTAACATAGTCTGTAGAAAAGCTCCAGCCAGTTTGCCATCTGTTGCCAAGTGACTGATGATGACGTTGGTGACAAGCTTTACCCAGAATACACTTGGAGACAATATGGACGATCCACTTGTAATTTAATGTGTCATAAAGTTAAATGTATGAGTGAAAATAAAGCCGTTCATGTAGCACAACATTTTATTCAATATTTTACACCCACTGTCACTGACATTAGTCTGTCTTGTAAAGTTTTTAGCAACCATGAGTCAACAATGATTGGGGCAGCCTACTATGTGACCTGCACAGTACGTACAACATAAAGTATGTATGTAGATAAAGGTCCACATCCACCAAATTCAATAGGTGAGGGGCCTGTTGCTCCCTCAGGACTCCCTGAAGCTCCGCCCCTGGTCAAGACGTTCATACAAGTTCAACTTTTCCGTACATAATTTTATGTTTATTTTATTTTATGTGAGTTGTGGATGAACTATACATGGTTGTCCAATTCTTTCTTTTTTAAACAAAAAAATATATTTTTGATAGATCAGTCAAGTTTTATTGGAGATGTTCTCCAGGCGATAGAAGGCCGGCTTTGTAACTGTCTTTATGTGTCTTTGAAAGTTCAGGTCTGAGTCCATCACTATACCCAGATTTTGGGCCTTCATAGTGTCTGATTTAAAATTTGACTTTTCATTTTGTGCTCCGCTGAAACTGAACTGAACTGCTGCGCATGTGAATATATTTAATTTATTTGTGTTTGGTGACACCTGGTGGATAGACTGGATATGACTGGGTAGGTAGTGCCTCAACTTGGCTTTTTTGTAGTTCTTTGAGGTGTGGCGGACATTTTGGATGTAGTTTCTGCTAAGAGAAGACTTGCTGAAGACCATTTTCAAAATGTATTGCAGTTATGTGAGAAAAACTAATTTATGAGACTAAACTTTACAATTTAATTGATCCTTTTGGACTCAGGTTGGTGAACGTCTAACAGTGGTTTTCTTCTACGCAAGATGTAAAAATGAAAATATTGGTCACAAAATAAATAAAAGAAAGTCCTAAAATGATCTGAAATAGGAAGCTTAGGTTTTTCTAACATAAAGATCTAGAATTTTCTAGATGCTGTTAAGCTGTTGTACAATTTTTAACTCAACAAAGTTAAATCATCTGGGAGCAGATGGTTTAACTCTGCTCTTTGTAGTTGCTGTAACGGACTCTGACGTAGCCAAGATGCTAACCCAAGTGAGAAATT